ATTTCATTTCATCAGCCCCGCCCAGACAGATTGTATACTATTCTGGAGATTCTACCTTCCTCCGTGCCCTATGAATCTAGCTTCCCTCTTGAAAGCTTGTAAGCCAGTCACTTCTTGCCTTTGTAGCCTCCCACCCCCCATTTTGGGTAGCCAATGTCCAAGTTGCCCATCCCTGTCTACTCTGTGTATGGAGGGGATGGGAATGATCCTTGCTGTAAGGATTACACTTTTTTCCCTCTTCTTTCTTCTTGTTGTTGAGCTCTGATCATCTAGTCATTGAAGCCAGGACAAGTGTGGGTGTTCTTGTGCAGATGCCCTCTCTTCGTATCCACTGGATGCTTCACTCTCCACCCTAGCCCTCTGTGGCTACGTCACTGACTCTGGGCCCAAGAATCCCCAGGTCTTGCCACACTGCTGGCCAACCAGGTCTTCACCCGGGTTCACAGAAGTCTATTGAACACTGTAGGGCTTAGCTTTCCGCCTCATTGCTGCTCCTCCCTCACTTCCCCTTATCGGCGACGAGGGTGAGTTTGAACTGCAAGGTCAGTGGTTCAAGCTCACCAGCCGCTCCTTGGAAACCCTCCCTATACAGGGTCACGAAGGGTCAGAACTGACTTGACAGCAGTAAACAACAACAACATAACGTATCAAAGGATTATTTGTGAATTGAAGAATAATGAATGAAATGTACCTCTTGAGTTGTGACCTGTGTTTATTTTTTGCTGCACAAACACTCAATTCTGGGTCAAATTTGAAATAAACCCTCAAGGCCTTAATTTTCAACTGAAATGTGACTGTTTGTGACTCTGCTCTTAATGCTTGTTAAGCAGGAAAAAGCTTGCTCACAGAAGTAAGCAGTTGACAGCTGCAACAGAATGCGCATTGCTTTTCTTTGTGTTGAACCACAAGGTCAGTGGTTCAAGCCCACCAGCTGCTTTGAGGGAGAAAGATGAGGTTTGTTGGCTCCTGTTAAATTCTAGTCTGCTCTATATGGTCTCGATAAACAAGAATCAACTCGATGGCAGTGGGTTCTTGTTCCACAAAAATCCAGAACCTTTCCAGGGATCTATCAGTGAATCTTATCTTTAGTGTGCAGTCAGACTGGGGCTTAAAGTTCTTCCTCTTCTCTTAAAGACAAATTCTCATATTGAGTGGAAGACTCAGAGAACACATTTTTCATCCATTCAGACACTTGTGTTGAAAGAGAAGGAAGAGACTGTCCCGTTTTGTTCTGCAAAAATAATCCCCAAAGGTGCGCTCATATCTTTTCTCCACTCTCAAGCCCAAGCAGCCATGGAAACATTCCAAGATTTCTTTTTTGGCAAGATGATTCCCCCCGAGGGTTTCATCTCTTTTTAAATCCAAGAATCTTGTCACTTGCTGTCAAAACATTTTCTTTAGGGCTTTGGAGAGACTTGTTCAATTTGTTCATGTACTGAAAATGGTCTGCTAAGTAAGTGGTCTCTGCAGCCATTCTTCATGCCCTTAGCAGAAAGCTGATCCACTGCTTGCTCTGCTGAATGTGCTCCTGGAATGCACCGTCCCATGCACACTCACTGCTGCAGGCTCTTTCTCTGTGAAAACCCACTGCTGAGGATGCGATTCCAACTCAGAGTGACCTTGGAGGGCAGAGAAGATCTGCTCCTTAAGGTTTGGAAGACTGCTAGTCTTTATGGGACGAGCTCTGGTAGTATAGTGGTTACAAATCGGGCTGCTAACCTCAAGGTTGGCAGTTCAAAACTACCAGTGGTTCCAGGGGAGAAAGATGAGGCTTTCTGCTCCCATAAAGATTTACAGCCTCGGAAACCCTGTGCAGGATCACTATGAGTCGGAACCGACTCCACGGTACTTAACAACAACGAGTCTTTAAGGGAGCAGCCACATCTTTCTCCCATGGAGCAGCTGGTAGGTTTGATATGCCGACCTTGGAGGAAGTGCACATAAATCTCCTGACACTAACAGAGAAAGAAGGCACCCTGGTGGCACAGTGGGTTAAGTGCTGGGCTGCCAACCTTGTGGTTAGCAGTCTGTGCTCCCAAGATTGTCCCTAGCTGAGTGATATTGACCAGGCTACTTCACCTTTATTTATTTGTATTTTTCCTACCTCTCCTTTCTGAATCTCAGTTTCCTCATGAGCAAAACGGGAGTTTTACTAGAGCTAGCTCACTAGGCCATTGTGAGGATTAAGTGAGATAGTGTCTGTAAGGTTCCAGCCCCGTACCTGCCACAGTGTAGGTAAATGCCCCCAAAGTGATAGCATTGACAGACCGCTGTTCGCTCAGCCTAGACATGGGGACATGTCCCAGCTGCTTCTGATTGTGTCGGTGGGCTTAGATTCCAGTGGGTTTCCAGGAGCTTGCCTGCTCCCACACTCCTCTTCCCAGCCCACACGTGCTGGGAATGATGCATGGGTTCTGTTTCAGCTCTGTGAGTATGGGAGACTGGTTGGACTTCGCCAACACCAACGTGGAGAAGGCTGACAAGCAGCGGAACAACTCCCTGACGCTGAAGGTCCTGGTGGACCGAATCCTGTCTCAGACGGCTAACGACCTGTGCAGGCAATGCGATGTGGTGGACACGGCATTCAAGAACGGGCTGAAGGAGACCAAGGATGCCAAGGACAAACTGGCTGTTCATCTGGCCAAGGTGAGGTCCCTGGAGGAAACAAGAAGGAGCAGAATCAGGAGGTTTTGCCATCGAAAACCAGAATGTCTTCTGGGCATGCCAGTTAGATCTCTGGATTTGTGATATTGTGCTAACCAATGAGCAAAGGTCATTCATGTATCCCTACCTTAGCAACAGGCTTTGAGTTTTGTGAAAAATTGGGTACTGGAGGGAGACTTTGCCCTAGTCTTGGTGCCCAGTCTGATGAGAGGAGGCTGTCTGGTACCAAGCCTCACTGGTCACAATGACATTCAACACATTGAGAAAAAACCAGTTGCCACAAGTCAGTTCCAACTCAGGGAGCGATTAATAGCTGCATCTTAGATGACAGCTTATGAGCTTTTAAGACCCCAGTCACTACTTACTAAAGTAGGAGCTAGAGCATTGTCTTTGTGGACTGTTGTGCCAGATGCCCTTAGTGTCCCTTGAGACTATAATTTATGATTCTGAGCCCCCAGGCCTATTGACTCATTCCCTTGAGGTGTTTGGTTATATCTAAGAAGCTTTTATAACTTTGCCCCATGAATGCTCTATGACACTCTTGGATATATTTTCAGCATATGCCGATACACATGTAGAAATAGCTTCTGTCAAACTTGTATATATTCATGGGTATAGTTTCACCTGCCTACCACATCCATTCAGTCTGCATACACTCATAGATCACTGTTATTGCAGAACTTAATTGTATATAACAGTATTCACAGTACAGAACCTCTGTTGTCAAGGAAGACTTTTTTTTTTTTAATTGTGAACTGAGTGATAGTTTACATGGGAGAACATCAGCTTTAAACCATCGTTTCATTTCAGTGATTACAATCTCTTCCTTGCATCACCATTCAACAGTATTTGCTTCCATTCCCTGTGTTTTTTTTTTTTTTTGGTGTGTGTGTGTGTACACAAAAACACTCAGGAATATATGATAATTTAAACGACCAAAGGGCACATTCTGCAAACCTGCCTCCTGGCCTCTCTCTCTGTCCATGAGTCCAGAGTCCTCCGCTGCTCCCTCTCTCCATGTCCCCATCTCTGCCTCCATCTCTGGTGTCGCTGCTTCTCTGGATAGGGTCCTACATTCCACTTGTGCTCTTCTCCCTTGATAGTCCTAGGGTCCTTCAAAACATGTAAGATTAACTAATCCCATGTTTTTGTTACAAAACTTCTACCTTTACAGTGTGACAGTTGCAATTAGTCATGATAACAAATACTCACTACTGAATCATAAGAATCTTATCCCCATCTCTTTTCACCAGAACTGTCTAGACAATATGAAAACTATTCAGTGGGGACTCTATCTAAGGAAGCCATGCTTTCCTAGTTAAACTATTGTTTGGTTTTTAAGAAGATTTCAGGGGACATTTTTTGTTTAAGTTTTAAAGATTACCTCTAAATTGTTGTATAGTACCTTGGTCTTAAAAGCTTACACAAGGTACAGTTGATCTGTTTGCTTGGAGTAACAAAGGAAAAGGAAAAGTCAGAAATAGGAGGAGGATATGGAATGTGTGGCTAATTGTCTCCATGAACAACCTTGAGTCCAGAAGAACTGGATGGTGCCCAGCTACCATTGCTGAACATTCTGATCAAAGATTCTATAGAAGAATTCTTGTCAAAAGGGGGAAATGTAGAACAGAATTTCAAATTCTCCTGGAATCCACACTTTCTGAAGCTGTGGCAGCTGGATGAACCCCTGAAACTATTACCCTAAGAGAATCTTTAAACCTTGCTTCTTTTTGTAACTTTTGACAGTGTGGGAAGCTTAAAAAGAAAGCAGTTTGATATTACTCAAACGGTTTGATGTGATTCAAACAATGTCAATTATTGTTGAAATGAGTACCACAGTATACATTTTACATGTTGTTGTTAGGTGCCATCGAGAGGCCGTACTGACTCATAGTGACCCTATGCGCAACAGAACAAAACACTGCCTAGTCCTGGGCCAACCTCACAATTGTTGCCATGCTTGAGCCCATTGATGCTGCCACTTGGCCAATCCATCTCACTGGGGGTCTTCCTCTTTTTCTCTGACCCTCCACCTTACCAAACATGATATCCTTCTCCAGCAACTGGTCCCTCCTGACAATATGTCTGAAGTATGAGAGACAAAGTTTGGCCATCTTGGCCTCCAAGGAGCACTCTGGCTGTACTTCTTCCAAAACGGATCTATTGGTTCTTTTGGCAGCCCATGGCACTTTCAATATTCTCCTTCAACACCATAACTCAAAAGCGTCAATTCTTCTATGGTCTTCCTTATTCACTGTCCAGCTTTTGCATGCATATGAGGTTATTGAAAACACCATGGCTTAGGTCAGGTGCACCTTAGTCCTCAAGCTGATATCTTTGCTCTTCAACACTTTAAAAAGGTCTTGTGCAGCAGACTATAATATACATCGTTTGATTTCTTGACTGTTGCTTCCATGAGTGTTGTTGCATAGAAGTGCTATTTTGTCTTAAAATTTTAGGTTGAGCTCATTATGAAAATTATCAAATCTGTAGCAAAAAGTAATTCCCAAAGCCATTCAGTTGAAGATTGTTCTCTTTCAGGAAATTTCTGTCTACTCTGAGCTAAAAAAACAACAAAAAAAAAATCACAAGAAAACTTAATCACTTTGAATTGCTGTGTGGTAGGGCAAGTCCAATATTCAGCTTCTATTCCTGATAAAAATGCATGGAACCGACAGTGGTCATGTCTACAGGAAGGAATAACGTCCACTCTTTGGTTCACTCAACTGGTTCAACACATGATAGATCCAGATATTTTCTGCACAGAGTGTGAGGTTAGCGCAGGATCAGGCAGTGTTTCATTCTGTTGTGCATAAGGTCCCTGTGAGTCGGTACCGACTCGACGGCACCTAACAATGACAGCCTGCTGACACTACAGTATGTAACCATAGGCTTGAGCAACTGGCATTTTCACAAGCTCTGTAAGTTTTTTAGAGGATCCCTGCTGGCACAGTGGGTTAAGCATTGGGCTGCTCACTGCAAGAGCAGTGGGTTTGAACACACCAGCTGCTCCGAGGGAGAAAGATGAGGCAATCTGTTTTCATAAAGATTTACAGCTGCGGAAACTGTGGTGCCGTTCAGCTTCATCCAATAGGGATGCTCCGACTTAATGGGAAACCATGATAGCTTCTTTCTTATTGTTGATGAATTTTCCAGTGTTTGAATATACTACCCTTTGCTTATCCATTTACTTATTAAAGGACATCTGATTAGCTTCCAAATTTTGACAGTTATGAAGAAAGCTATAGAAATAAACATTCATGTGTGTGGCACTGTAGAATCAGCACTGAACTTCGAACTACCAGGTTGGCAGTTCAAACCCACTAGTTACTCCTCAGAAACCCTATAAAGGGTCGCTATGAGTCGGCACCAACTTGACGGCACTTAACCAGAACACACATTCACATGCAGGCTTTTATGTGGACAGATGTTTTGAAAGCATTTGGGTTAGCAGCTAGGAACACGATTGCTTGATCCTATGGTAAGCTTATTCTGAACTTTTTAAGAAACTGCTAGACTGTCTTCCAAAGCGGCTATCCCATTTTCAACCTTTCGGTTTTTAATGAACTGTTGATGTTGCTTCTTGTGTCCGCAAGTCTTCAAGCAATGGTAAGAACATGCTTATAGTCTTAAACAAATCTATAGCCTCAGGATACACTTATTCAGTTGCTGCAATCAAACATGATTAAATCCCCTCACCTTGTGAATGGCTTTCCTTGCTTGGCTAACAAAACGAGCCACTTGGAAACGGATTGCAGCTTCCTTCTCATTTTTTTTTTTTGTTTTGTGAAGATACAGTACTGTGATGAGATAGCCCGTTTCAAATTTTCTCTTTTTTCCCTAATCATTGCTTTATTATTCACTGGGAATAATTTGACGAGGGCTTAGTCTGATAAAAGGAGCTTTGGTGGCGCAGTAGGTTAATCACTGGGCAACTAACTGCAAGGTCAGCGGTTCAAACCCACCAGCCACTCTGCGGGAGGAAGATGAAGTTGTCTGC